GCGGGCTAACACATTCAAAGAAGGCATTCAATTCAGTTCAATGCAACTCAATTCAAATATTTAATGTGAGGCTACTACATGCCAAATATTGTTCTACTTCTCTAGGCTGTTAGGATAGTTTGATCAGGGTGGGGATAGAGAAAAATCAGTGGCTTCACAGTGATTATATTCTAATGAGATAAAGCAGAGTAAAACCAAAATAAGGTATGTGTGTTATGAGGAAAACTAAAGCAGGAAAGGGAAATAAGGAGTGCTGTAAGTTAAAATAAGGTCGTCATGATGGGGCATCCTTATGCAGAAACTGATATTTGAGCAAAGACTTAAAGTGAACGGAGATGCTAGCCTGTACATATGTGGAGGAGGAACACCATAGGCAGAGAGAAAAGAAGTGCAAGGGCCATGGGGTAGGAATCTAACTGGCAAGCTCAAAATTTAGGCAAGGAAGCCAGTATGGCAAACATGCTGTGTAAGTGAAGTTAATAGGAGGAAACATCAAAGAATTAAAGAACACATGTGTGGAAATTTTCCATATTTCATAAATATATTTAAGTGAATGATATGAGAAAGCATTGTCAATTATTTTAGAAAAGAAGAAATATAGTCCAAATATGTTTAACAAGTGATCATTCTGGCTACAACATTAAGCATTTGCTCCAGAGGAACAGATAAAAAAACTGAGATGCTGTTTTAAAGGCTTTTGCTATTAGAATCCTTGGAGAAGAGAGGAAGTAGTGGTTGGGTAAGTAAATGTCTGATTCTGTATATGTATCTGAAGGGCAGCCAGTGTGTGAATTTAATGTGGAATGTGAGACAGAGAAGGAAAAAAGAGACACCTGGGCCTATGCAACTAAAGGAATATTGCTGCCATCAACTGAGGTGTGTGGAAGACTATTAGAAAAAGTGGGGTGGAAAATTTTATGTCACACCACTATAGGACATACCCAAGACTGGGTAATTTATAAAGGAAAGAGGATTAATTAGTGCACAGTTCTGCAGGGCTGGGAAGGCCTCGGGAAACTTACAGTCATGACAGAAGGAGAAGCAAATATGTCCTTTTATACATGGTGGCAGGAAAAAGAAGGATGAGTGCTCAGTGAAGGCGGAAGCCCTTATAAAACCATCAGATCTTGTGAGAACTGACCCACTATAATGAGCACGGTGGGGGGACTGCTGCATGATTAAATTATCTCCAGCTGGTTCCTTCCACAACATGTGGGGATGATGGGAACTACAATTCAAAATGAGGTTTGGGTTGGGATACAGCCAAACCATAACATTCTGCTCTGTTCCCTTGCAAATCTCATATCCTCACATTTCAAAACACAATCATGTCCTTCCAACAGTCCCAAAGTCTTAACTCATTCCAGTATTAACTCAAAAGTCTAAGTCCAAAGTCTCATCTGAGACAAGTCCCTTCTGTCTACGAACCTGTATAATCAAAAGCAAGGTAATTACTTTCGAAATACAACGGGGGCACAGGCACTGAGTAGATACACCTGTTCCAAATGGGAGAAATTGGCCAAAACAAAGGGGCTACAGGACCCATGCAAGTCCAAAATCTAATAGGGCAGTCATTAAACCTTAAAATTTGAAAATTATCTCCTTTGACTCCGTGCCTCACATCCAAAGCACTCTGATGCAAGAAATGGGCTCCCAGAGCCTTAGAGAGCTCTCCCTGGGGCTTTGCAGGTTATAGGTCCCCCGTCCAGGCTGCTTTGTGGCTGGAGTTGAGTGTCCGTGGCTTTTCCAGGTGCATGGTGTAAGCTGTCGGTGAATCTACCATTCTGGGGTCTGGAGGATGGTGGGCCTCTTCTCCAGCTCCACTAGGCAGTAGGGACTCTGTGTAGGGGCTATAACCCCACATGTCCCTTCTGCATTACCCTAGCAGAGGTTCTTTATGAGGGATCTGCCACTGCACCATACTCCTGCTTGAACATCCAGGCATTTTCATATATCCTCTGAAACCTAGGCAGAGGTTCCCAAAGCTCAATTCTTGTCTTCTGTCCACCTGCAGTCCCAACACCATGTGGAAGCTGCCAAGGCTTGGGGCTTGCACCCTGTGAAGCAATAGCCTGAGCTGTACCTTGGTCCTTTTTAGCCACGGTTGGAGCTGAAGCAGCTGGGATGCAAGGGACCATGTCCCGAGGTTGCACACAACAGGGGCGCCCTGGGCCTGGCCCATAAAGCCATTTACTCTTGTAGGCCTCCAGGCTTGAGGTGGAAAGGGCTGCAGTGAAGGTCTCTAACATACCCTGGAGACATTTTCCACATTGTCTTGGTTAGCAACATTTGATGCCTCATCACCTATGCAAATTTCAGCAGCAGGCTTGAATTTCTCCTCAGAAAATGAGGTGTCCTTTTCTATTGCAACATCAGGCTGTAATTTTCCAAACTTTTATGCTCTGCTTCCTCTTGAAATCTTTGCTGCTTAGAAATTTCTTCCACCAGCTACCCTAAATCACCTCTCTCAAATTAAGAGTTCCACAGATCTCTAGGGCAGGGGCAAAATGCCGCCAGTCTACTTTACTCCAGTTCCTAAGAAATTCCTCATCTCCATGTGAGACCACCTCAGCCTGGACTTCATTGTCCATATCACTGTAAGTATTTTGGTCAAAGCCATTTAACAAGTCTCTAGGAAGTTCCAGACTTTCCCTCATTTTCCTGTCTTCTTCTAAGCCCTCCAAATTGTTCCATCCTCTGCCTATTACTCAGTTCCAAAGTCACTTCTACATTTTCAGATACCTTTACATAAAGCAGCGCCCCACCACCTGGCACCAATTGACTGTATTAGTCTGTTCTCACTCTTCTATAAGGATATGCTTGACACTGGGTGATTTATAAAGAAAAAAGGTTTAATTGACTCGCAATTCTTCAGGGGTGGGAAGGCCTCAGAAAACTTACAATCATGGCAGAAGGGAAAGCAAACACATTCTTATTCACATAGTGACAGAGAGGAGAAGAATGAGTGCCCAGCAAAGGGGAAAGCCCCTTAAAAAACAGTCAAATCTTAAGAGAACTAGTTCAATATCATAAGAACAGGATGGGGGAAGCTGCCCTCATGATTCAATTATCTACACCTATTCTCTTCCACAGCATGTGAGGATTAATTCAAGATAATGTTTGGGCTGAGACACAGCCCATATCAGTAGGCAATTAGATCTACAAGTATTAGATTCACAGTAGAGGCAAATATGGACATCTTCTGCATAAAGCTTCTTGCGATTATCATGGAGCAAGCATAGACAAAGGAGAGCCAGTGGGCCTTGACACCTTACATATTAAAGAGTTGAAGATATAGCATTATAGAGAAACCAAGGAGTGTGACTGAAGAGGTATGGTCAGTAATTGAAGAAAGAAAACATCAGGGGTGGTGTGTGGCCTTGAAAGCTAGAAAGTAAAAAGTTCTTGTAGGGAGGGAGTCATCAATTGTGTCAAACAGAGTTGCAATTTGATGAGAACTGAGAAATAACACTGAATTTAGCCATAGTGGTAGTTGATGGCCCTGTCAAGAAAATTTTCAATGTTTGGGGAAAAATCTGACTGAAGTACATTTAAGGAAAAAAAAAATCAGAGGATAGAGACTGGAAAGTTAAAGGATTTATAGAACAACACAGGAATATTATGGTGGAACATGTAATAATTCTTAGCTTATTATGTATTATATCTCAGCTTATTAAATTCTTACAGACATTCCTAAGGCAGAAACACTTACCTCTCTTAAGACAGAATAGTGACTTGATAGGCAAAATATCATGCCACAGTGAAAAGTTAGAACTGCAAGGATTACATACAAATGACATTTGTCTGATGCCTGACTCTCACATTACAGAACAGAAAATAAAAATATTATTTATAAAATGCCATTTGAGTTCATTTTCAAAGAATGAAGAGTGGGGAGAGTATATGCTAAGTATAGATAGTGATGAGACAGGAACAAGTAATGAAAATGGGTCTTTATAATGGGTTTCTTTTTTCCCAAATTTACTCTCTTTTTTGCCTGATTTTCTTTAGCTCTGTTTTAATTTCCTGTAGATTTCTGACTGTGAACTTACAATAATTTACATAGTCTATGCAATCATTCTAAGAAAAAGAAAAAAGCTCAGAAAGGAAGAACTTGATTACATTGAGAGACAAAAGACTTGTAAGAACAAGCTAAACATAAAATGTTAAATGTAATATAAATTGAAAACAGATAATTTTTAACTTTTCTATGTTAAATATTTATTCAATTATTTTCTTGTTTTGTATATTTAGTAATTTAATATTAACATTGGTATAAGCACGAACCTGAAATAAGTAACAGGTCTATGAATTTATAATGTGCTAAGATATGTTCATATGCAGCATACATCATTCTGCAAATATGTAGAACACATTTGTGTTTACTAATTACTAATACAAATTCATTTTGAGAAAAATGCTTTTTAAAGTTAATATGTTCAAAAACAACACTTTGTTGACCAAACTGGAGCACTTTAAATATCTTTTTATGTCTTCTGAGTATAGGTACATCTTAAGCAATTCTTTCAATTATATATAGTTTCTTTACAGTTAATTGGTATTGATTTGCAATCTCTGTCTTATAATCATATTTTTGAATGAGGATTCTCATTATATGAAGACAAGTACATTTTAAAATACTTGGTTTACTTAATGAATTATTAATTTTCCTACCTGTCTAAATCTTTTCTTACAGGATAGTGTGTAATCATCAGATCTCGTTCTTAAGAAATTCTACTTGAAAATTATTTTGAATATCACACAACTGCTACTAAATTTTTAAAGTTAAGTTTTAAGCAACATATTATGCATTTCTCTTATGATAAAATAATTGGGTTGGATTTGTAAAGAACAATTTTTCTTCCATTTGGTGGAGGATGCATCTATACGTTTGAAAGCCCACCCAGTCTAGACTAATCTAACTGTTCTAAGTAACCCAATGCTTCCCTGCCAAAACCTGCTGCTCTCACGGGGACCTGTGAAAAGTGCAAACATCTCACCTTATCCATCCTACGTATTTGCCCCTGTGGTCTTGAAGGAATGTGTTCTCTTTCCGGGTCCATGAGGGGGCGTAGCTTTAAGGGCAATAATTTTCTGGCGCCATGCCCCTCTCCCATCTCTCTCCATCCCGGAGACTAAACGGTTTATGGTTGAATTTCCCCTGCGCAGGAAGAAACTAAAAGTCAATCACTCCAGCGGAAGTTCTAGGGAACTCCTTTCATTGGCCCAGGGTTTTGGAGAAGGCGGGGTTTCCCCAAGGATAAAAGTTCCTGCTCCCTCACCTGCGCTGGATTTCCAACTCTCTGGAATCCCCTCCCACACTCTTCCTGGAAGCCTTTCTCTTCTTCTGCTTTCCTTCTCTTTCCTCTACCTAAATAAATCACCTTTCTGCAACACTTTTTGGGTCCATTATTTACTTTTACGAGCATACAGTCGACCCGCAGTGGCCCCACTGTTTATTCCTTAAAATGTTGGAGGCCGAGTACCCACAATCACTGACATCCGAGAAAAAAAACCCGGTTACAGTCTTTTTTGAACTAATTACTCACATCCTTCCCGTGTTTAAATCCACATTACCCAATAAAGTCCAGTTCCACTGTAACCTTCTTTTTCATGTATCCCTGGTCTTTTGCAATGGAAGGAATTTCCGTTCCATAAACTGAATTGAATTTTGCATATAATCTCTCAAGGGACATTTGCTACTTTCTATATTTTTAGATATTTATGTATATTCCTCATTGCTCTTAACTTCATGTGTTAGTGGTTTCACTAACAATTTTATTATACCATAGTTGCCAAATCTGGATTAATTTCAACTGACTTCCGGGTCACATAGAGTAAATTTTGATTAAAGTGAAGGGCTTTGTGTATTTTGTTTAAGCCCTTGAATGTCTTTTTGTTGACATGACAGATGACCATAAGAAAGGCAGACCATAAAAAAGCTAATGGTAACTACTCCTTAACATGTTTTATTTAGTGAAAAATTTATAACTAATTAATCATTGTATCCTAAATAGTAATATGTCTCTTACCTCGTACACACTGTCAGCTTTTAAAATGACAATTTTCTTAATGTATGGCATGATTTATTTCTCACTTTGGCATATATTTCTAAACTCCAAACTTGTATATGTGTGACACCTGTCACAGGAACTTTTTACCAATGTTACTCCTTCTATAGTCATTCTGCCTTAGGCAATGGCACCATTTCTGTGCAGTCTCTCTGGACATAAGCATGGAAGCTATTTGGAAAAAGCTGAGTAAGTTAACATCTTAGTCCAACGATGATGGAAAATTGTTGTAAAAGGAGTATTTTCAAATGTTAACAAAATATGTTAATCTATATGTTAGTACATGCTCACATAAAAGAAAATAGAACATTTGAAAATAATACATTTTGTTATTACAAAATGAGGCCCAAATCTTCAAAATCATGATAACATGATTAACATTGCTAGTCTTTTTTTTTTAAAAAAAAAAAAGGAGGTAAATAATCATATACATAGAGATATACATGGTGCAATATACAGAAATATTTTTATAAAACATATTTTTGAATTGTTTTGTTGCCTTTTTATCACGTCATTTTCATACTTCTGTTTACATTATTCATATGTGCATAGAGACATTATAATTTAACAGTTTCACACTTGATAGGCATTTTCCAATTATTTTGTTATTGGAAGAAATGATAAAATGATATGTACTTTATAATATTTCAATACTTAAATAATTTATTCCATCAATAAATTCTTATTTAGCCTCACCTTTTCTGATGCAAAGTTGATGAAAACCTCTGTAGAATATTGAAAAATAAATTTAGTCTACCATACCACTATTGATAAATGAACAGCATTTTAACATGTATTCATTAGCAACTTTGAACAAAGAAGGGAGTGAGGCATGTAAAGAGAGCATGCAAGGGGAGATATTGGGCAGGGAAAGAAGTATTGCAGACTGATTTCTTAGCTAACATTTAGCCATTTTTAAAATAATTTATACAGAGCTGCATTAAACAAAAGTGACTTGACTATTTTAACTACTTTTCTTGCTTAAGAGAAATCACAAACTTTAGCTCCTTGGGTGAATTTAAACTGACTGATACAGTTTGATTTATCGCAATTTGTCTACAGTGCAGATTTTTGTGGTAAGAGCCAATAGATACTTGCTTGGTATTAAAACATCTGATGCACTGTTTCTGGCCCTAGTTTTTGCTTTTCCTTTAATTTAATAGGTTGGCATAGATTCTGCCAAAATGTGTTCTACTCTATATACAAGATGCTGTTACAGTACTTCTAATAGCTTGAAATAGAAACATTGAAGAAGAAGGTAATTTTTATTTAGTAAAACCAACTTCCATCATAAAAAACATTGGCTTCAACATAAAAACAGGGGATTCTGAGAAAATGATGGCAGTAACATAATATTTAATCTCAAATATCTTTATAAAGAAAAACAGAGCAATTAAATAGTAAAATGAAATCCATGGATGAAATTTACAATATAATTAGGTTGCATGTTATCCCTACAAACCTGAAATGCTGGTGGGTGGGGAGAAAATATGGCAGCTACAAGCCCTGTGTTATCTCAACCTTTGTATACATGGAAGCCTAGAGAAATAACCAGGCAGCTTAAGATCTGAGAACACAAGGTTCATAAGGGGCCAGTTTTTAAAAAGTAGCAAAAACTGGGAGTTTTGCCTTCTTTATAGCTAGCCAATACAACTGTCTGTTAGGAAGGTGTGAAGGGATCAGAGCAATTTAGTCCCTATGAATTATTGAAACTGATAAAAGAATTCCACACTGAGTGGGGGAAAGCAAAATAAACTCCTGAGAATTTAATTAAAACTTAACAAGGGCAATACAATGAAGAAAAAAAAAATCTACAAAAAAGTAAGGAAGCACGGTGGCTCATGCCTGTAATCCCAGCATTGAGGCCGAAGCCAGATGATCACCTGAGGTCAGGAGTTCGAGACCATCCTGACCTACATGGAAAAACCCTGTCTCTACTAAAAATACAACAGTAGCCGTGAATGGTGGCACGAGCCTGTAATCTCAGCTATTGGTGAAGCAGACGCAGGAGAGTCGCTTAAACCTGGGAGGCAAAGGTTGCTGTAAGCCGAGATCGTGCCATTGTACTTCAGCCTGGGCAACAAGAGCAAAACAGTCTCAAAAAAAAAAAAAAAAAAAAAGTGAGAGAGTGGCCTTCTGGGGCAGGAGGGGTGGCAGTTAGATGGGTTATGCTATGTGGTCTCAGGCATCTCTGCTGCCACCCGTGAACAAGCTCTGTCTCTAGCTGTATCATCATGTTATGATGCCATCGCATCCTGTCATTGGCATTCTAGTATTCTTGCCAGGATTTTACAACCGGAGCATTACCTACCATGGATCCAAAGGCTGCTGGGATTACTTTTATGCTGACTTTTCAGATTTTGATAACTAGCACTCATCTCAGGCTTGAAAAGAAGTCACAGTGGGACTACGTCCAGCTTTAAGATATTGAGCAGAAACTGCAGCTAAGGGCTAAGGAATTGTGCAGTTTGCAGATGTTTAACAAAATAATTGCCAGATTTTATGGGTCCATTCCAAAGATGTTAACTGAGCTTATAATTAGCTAATTAGGACAAGCTCTGCTTTTCATCTCCTGGTTCTGGCAAAAGCTCCTGACAAATTTTTCCACATGAATATGTATCATGGAAGAATAGCAATGTTAATTGCCTGAGAAAATGGGAGTTTATTCTTTAGTGGATAGTATTGCCACCACCACCCTCTTCAGAGTTGAGCATTTCTTTTAAATAGTTTTCATTGTGAATTTGTTCTTGCAGCAAGAATGCAGTGTGTCCAATTTCTTATTAGTAAGTAATTTATCTTTAAAATATCTAAGTAACTTATCTCCTACACTTAACTTTACCTTCATGTTGTAGTGGAAATCATCATAAAACCAAATATCAGTGTGAGTCCATCTGTAATACTTTTTAGTCGCTTTCTTAATGACAACAACAGGGACTTTATTTTTTTAATTTTATGTTTCAGGATAAGCATAAAATTACATGTACATGTGCAGGATGCACAGGCTTATCACGTAGGTAAACATGTGTCATAGAGATCTGCAGCACTTAACAAACCATAACCTAGGTATTAAGCCCAGCATGCATTGGCTATTTTTCCTAATGCTCTGCCTCCCCACCCAATGCCCTCAACAGTGTGTGTTGTTGCTGTCACTGTGTCCCTGTGTTCTCATTGTTCAGCTCTCACTTATAAGTGAGAACACGCAGTGTTTGGTTTTCTGTTCCTGTGTTAATTTGCTGAAGATAATGGCTTCCAGCTCCATACATGTACCTTCAAAAAATATAATCTTTTTCCTTTTTAATGGCTGCATAGTATTCCATGGTGTATATGTACCACATTTTCTTTATTCAGTCTATCACTGATGGGCATTGGGTTGATTCCAGTCTTTGCCATTGTGAATAGTGCTGCAATGAACATATGTGTGCATGTATTTCTGTAATAGAACTATTTTTTTGGGGGGGAGTGGTTACACCAGTAATGCGATTGCTGGGTCAAATGGTATTTCTAGTTTTAGATTTTTGAGGAATCCCCACACCATCTTCTCCTGCTAGTCAGAATGGCATTTATTTAAAAAATCAAGAAATAACATATGCTGGCAAGGTTGCACAGAAATAGGAACACTTTTACATTATTGATGGGAATGTAAATTAATTCGACCAGGACTTTTTAAAACTACAGTGCAAGTTTTCAAAATGTAAACATTTACTGTTTACCAATCTTGGCCAGCTTTGATTTGTCTGGTTCACCAAAAGGTTGGACAACATGCAATTTGGGTTATTCTGTCCTTTGTAGATTAAGATGTTCTCTGTATCATTTCTTTAAGGACTAGACTTTTGGCCATTTCCTAATGAAAAACAGAGATAAGTCATTATTACTCAGACTCTATAACTCTATTGCTAGCATCTTGCATTAGGATGACATTCTGCTAACGATTGCAAGACTCAGCATGGATCCCTACAAGACTAGATTGCCTTAGGTTGATTATGTTTCCTAGCTTGCAAAATGTTACTTATATTCGAAAGAAATTAAAGTGTTGAAATCCAAATCCAAAAAAAAGTGAAACAAGGAAATTGAACCAGAACAATCTTA